CACTCAGTGTTCGCTATTCACGACAGTCCGCTATATTTTGAGATCAGTGAGGATGACCACCCATGAACGGTGAACCATGCGCCCGCGATATTTGATGAACTTTAGACTCCGCTAATGCTTTCGTTTCCCCGGGTGTAAATAGCCGGGGGGAATTAGTACCCTCGCACGGCGCTTCGCGCCGCCGGCTCGGGGATTATAGAATAGATTGAATACCTATGTTCTTATACCCTGTAATTCCAAAGTAATTCAGTTGTTACTGCTAGTTTGGAAATTTATAATAATAATAATAATAATATAATAATAATAATAATAATAATAGTAATGGTTACAATAAGAAAATCACATTGAACATTATTATATTATTCAGAGATTATTTGATTACATGATTCCAATATTTTTAGAGAATAATTAATAGTTTTAAATTAAATGAATCATGGACAACTGACTTTCGCATTAGAATCTGTAACAATTAATATTGTGATAATTATATAAATATGGCCAAGATGAAATGCTGTAAACTGCCACAAAAATTGTAAACAAAGCTGAGGAAGAAAGTTTAGCACGTGCGATGTGAGTCTGACAAAAATAATACAGCTTGATTACTGAGGTGTGTAGCTGTCATACATATTTAATACAAATCGACAAAATGTATCGAGGTCCTATAATCGAAATCATTATTTACATATCTGATACCTATCGACTGTATATTCCCACAAACTATAAGATAACCATAAGTATATGGCAGAATTGGCAGCATCTGTTATCGAGATTATATTGCCATTGCCATTGATTTTCAATCATTCCAAACATTGCCATTGATTGTAAACCGCCATGCAGGGCATGCACTATACTGCTTGGTTTAAATGTAGCACTTCGCTACGGAAACAAGTGAGAGCATTCGTTGCCTTATTGATTGCGAAATTGGGCGATTGGGTTACACTTCTAAAGACCTAAACACTCTCAAATGCCTTTCAAAACCACAAGTACAGAAACATCAAATACCACCTCTGGAAGGTTGTTGCCATTGTTTTTTCCGCTGACATCTATATAATATGTGTACAGACATAAAATCAACTTCGGTTGATATGGACATGAAGGTGTGTTTCCCACTATGAACAAGTTGTCAACAATGTTGTTGCAAGTTTTGTTGACAAGTTGTTCATGCCTGTCAATATCAAGCAGAAACAAGTTGTTGATTCACTCAATTTTTACGTGTGTACCGTGACACCGCTGTGCTTTACATCACATTTTAAAGATTATCTTGAGTCCATGACTTTATATTTTTTATATTCTTTTATATTCAATATATCATATTTGAAACTTTAAATTTTACCCGGAGGAAATTTGAACAGGTTTTGCAACTCTGTCCAAGGAGTCGTTCTCTGACCAAAAATAATTTATTTTGACGCCGAGCTTTCGGTCACTAGACTATGGTCTTCTAAAGGTATACATCGTAGACATATAATTGATTTTGAAAAATGGGAAGTTATTGACAAGGGAAATTATAGACAAAGAAAATCTCTGGAATCTTGGCACACGGAAACAACTAAGGACGCAAATAACAATTCAAAGCCATTGACAAAACAATAAATTAAGCTCACAAAGAAACGCTGCCTCCGCTAATTACTTTACTTATATTACTTATATCGATATTCGTAATTAAAATTCCTAATTTATGATGTAACACAACCTAGTTTAATAGTATATAAGCTCGCTATTTTCATTAGCCACAGGGGCGGATTTAGACCGTTGCAACTGTAGCATATGCTACGGTCAGATTTTCCATAGGCCAGTTCTAACATGGATCATAAAATCAATCTAAAATATAATTTAGCAATATTTTGTTTACTTTCCTTGTTTATATTTCAAGGTTTTATTTTATTTAGTTTTATATGTTCTAAAACATTTTATTTTGACAAATTGGTGACATTTATAATACGTAACGTTAATTGTTTTAAGAATTCCCGCCCGAAAATACGGTTGTAATTGCCCGTTTGCGGGTCATTACGCAATGGACTATAGCTTAGAAAATATCATCCTTCAGAAATACACCGTAGCATGTTGCCCATATATGATCAATTTTCGCTACGGTCAGATTCATTAAGGTCGAATCTGACCGTAGCGAAAATTGGCATATACGGCATTCTGATTGGTTTGCTACGGTCAAACGTAGCAAACCAATCGGAATGGGGCAAATGCTATAGTTTGCTACGGTGGCATGAAATTGGCTACTGCTCCAGAACGATGGAATATCTGATATTTGTGTTTGGCTCATCAATTCAACATGCTATTGGGAACCCACAGTACGGTTGTGCGCATTTCGAAATGAAAGCCGTCGTAAAGCTAAAGGATTTATATGCGTCGAGGTAGAAATAAAATCAGATAGTAAAACGAATAATTTCCAGTCAGGTAAGCCTTATGAATGATAAGAGATGCACATTATATTTTAATTTGAGTTTTTACTGTATAGTGTTCGCTATTAACTTCGCTTTATTAAAGTGTTTGTGCACGTATGTACAGTATACCTGCATGTATTGAAATTAATACGCGAATTATGATACGCGCGTATATATATCGTGTTTTATAGCGCGTTAATATTTGTTTGTAATGCGTATATATTCGTAAGATACGCGTATTCATATCATAATACGCGCGTTCATATGATATGCGTATTCGTATGATACACGCGTTCGTAGATGATACGCGCATTTCGGTATTCAATTGATAATGATATGCGTATGATACGAGTATCATACCGATATCGTATGTTAAAATATACGCGAGCAATAGTCCACATTTTGAGATCATTTCGGCTTATTTTTGCTTGAGAAATGAATACAATGAGGGCAAATTTAATGGTCACATGCAGTGCTTAGAACGCAGGAAATGGCATTTCCGGGCTTCAAATTTCAAAAATTTTCCGGGGGGGCATGCCCCCGGACCCCCCTAGCTATGCGAGGTCTTGGAAAATGCTACGGTCAGATTTTTGGCTGGATCCGCCCCTGAGCCATGCACCTGTAGAACTGACCATAGTCTAGCGGCCGAAAGCTCGTCAAAATAAATTATTTTTGGTAAGAGTTCTCTGACCAAAAATAATTTATTTTGACGAGCTTTCGGCGCCGCCACTAGACCGTGGTAAGTTTTATCAGGGCGCTGTAAAACACGTTCGGAGAAACGGAGATAGCGCCCCTGATCCATGTGTGATGCACGGACCCCCCATATACACCAAGAACAAAAAATTTCAAAACAAATATGGCGGGCGAATCTTAGGTGTCTTTTCCGTGTTCGGACACCCCAGATGATGTTTTATGGGGTATAAATGATGTAGAGAAAGATGAAAACGAAGCAGCAGACGATATCTCAGAGTTACCGAAAAGTTTAGATTGGATAAATTCGAAAAAAGGTTATGAGAGCTACCGCAAAGTACTTGAAAGAGTCGCTCTCAGTATTTATGGCCAAGATACTGCACTGAAAGTTGAACAAACAAATGCACAAGAACTGTTGAATTCTAGCGAAAAAATATGGAAGTGGTGTTTGCTTTACTGAAAGTCATTTCTAATAGTTTTTCCGATTGTTATAAAAATGTTGAGCATATTAATTGTCCGGAGAATAAAGTAATACAACTTGAAAGAAGCTTTGCATCTGTGACAACTTCTACTATATTATGCGAGAGCTGGTCCTCATTACTACGTGTTTCTGGTTTGGAAATGTCGTTCTAGATCATATAATTCAACACTTTTGAAGTTGTTTTAGTATTATAAGAGTCGGAAAGTTTGATCCACGCTACTGTTGGAAACGATGCTGAATGTTTGGCAACAACGTCAACTTCTGTTGAAAATATCGAACTACAGGCTATAAAAGAACATTCTGGTTGGGTCTGTAAACGCGTGTATTTACACACAACAGTTGAGAACATTGTGAAAGTGGCCCTTGAGAGATGTGCTGACAAAGAAATACTCAAGCATTGCTTGCAAGTTCTGAGTGAAAGGAGTGAACTACGTGAAAAGTGGGCAAAAGTTCTGTGTGGAGAGGAGAATTAAATGTTTATGGCAGCACGTATTCTAATCTTGCAAAGGATTGCATCAATGTTTGTAAAATCGAAACAACAAATTATAAGAGAACAGCTACAATTGAAAGCCCAAAAGCACAGTGCATCATTTAGTCAGTAAATAATACTGTAGAAAAACCCTCAGAAAAATATGAGTGTGTGCAAGTATTCAGACAAAGTCCGGAGGATTCAAACTGTGTTACTGTGTTCTTAACCGAGGCTTTTAAGAACTCTGCTGTGCACCTGATATTCTTGGGAAGTTGCGTCGATGTGAACTGTCAAGAATTTTAAAGTCATTGGGTTTACCTGGTTATGCTGGAAAGAGCAAGAAGAAACAAATTGATACCCTGATAAAGCATGGTGAAGATGGCAAAGCCTGGATTATTGCATTTCCTGACAAGGTACTGTATGTGTTATAGAACTAGAACGTAGGAGACATGTTGATTAACTTAATATGGTTATTGGAATTACCTGATTGTTGATCATTGATCGAAATTATTTTATTGCTATTAATTAATCCATTGCAAGTAGAATCATCTGGGGGTAAATAGCAGGAGTATTTTGCGGGGGAATAGGGGGAATTCCCCCCTCCCCCCCTCAAAAAAATAATAAATCCCGAATTTCCCTCAAATCTACCGAAGTTTCAAAACCTAAAATACCCCTGAAATAGAGAAAAATACTGATGTGGGTACATTGCCAGCTCATAGTTTACCATGGGGAGACACCAGTCTAGCAAATTGTTTTGCTGAGCCATTAATTGACAGTAGTAAAAGCCTAATTAATTAAAGGTGGCTGCATTGTAAGATAAAGGAATTACAATGCTTTTTTGTTAACAGCTTAAAGATCATACCAAGACAGAAAACGCATAGAGAAGAAATGTTAATTTCACTGAAGTAGATGCTATTTTCAAACAATAATATTATTTATTTGTTATCAGCTTGATCTTTTTAGCATATATATGGTAAAAACTTAATAACTTTAAAAATCTTGACAGTTCCTGTGATGAAATTTCTTGATAATGTCCAGTGCATCAACAGAGATTTTAGTCTCAGCAGGGCGCTATAAAACACAATGTATTTTTTAGCACCCTGGACTCAGTTAAGAGCATAGCAACACAAAAACGTGCATGCACTCAACAGCCAGGGGTTGTTGTATAGTATTTTAACTGGTATAGAACTGTCCAAATGATCTCCTGTATTTTATTGGGCTTTCAACAGTTATTCTCTTTTGATACAAACACTGATGCAGTCCTTAGCAAGATTAAAATCCGAACAGGAATACATATTTTGTTTTCCTTTCCACAGAGTACTTTGTACTATTTTAGCCTAGTTCACTACTTTCACTCTGCTTGAGTTTGTCTATATAAGCAAATATCAACTGTAACGTTTCTAATGAGGGAATGAACAAAATTTTTCCAGATTAAATAAGTCTCCCAAGTGCTTTACCAAATCCATAATTGCCTGTTTTGGCACAACATACTATATATATATATATATATATATATATATATATATATATATATATATATATATATATATATATATATATATATATATATATATATATATATATATATATAAAATTAAAAATTAAAGATTAAAACCTAAGAATGTTCATTAAAAATTGAAAAGCACTACAGTTCTGTTTCGAGAGGCCCTTTCTAGATCCTCTCTCTTCAGGTGCATGATCAGTAATCTGATATATATGGCATGGCTCTACGGCATGGCTCTACAGGATGAGCCATGCCGCTTACGCATTGCGCACGCTCACTGCTTGCAGTTTGAGCGCCCTGGCATGGTTTTGATGTCCCACAATCGTGAGGCATCAAAGGTAACTATAAATAAGAGTTACTTTCATCCTGCTCATCAGCACTACACTGATGAGGCCCATTAGGCCGAAACGGTACTGTCTGTAGTTAGATATTGCTCTATGGCCTTTAGGTCATATTGAGCGCTCTACAGGATGAGCCATGCCGCTTACGCATTGCGCACGCTCACTGCTGAGTCTGGCATGGTTTTGATGTCCCACAATCGTGAGGCATCAAAGGTAACTGTAATAATAGCATAGTTGCCCGGGTTTCTTTTGTTTCAAGAGGGACGTTTAATCAGGTATCGCCCGCTGTAGCTGGCGATTAGTTCTAATCGCCCGTTGGAAAGGGTCACACTTTTTGTCTCCCTGACGACTACGCATTAGGCAAGTGCCTCAGCAACATAATCGTGCAAGGAACAGCAACAGTTAGCTCAGAGCCGTCAATAGTCTATCATCCGATCCCTGAGTTGTTGCATTATTTAAATTACGCACGTGCAGTCTCCGATTTTATACTAATATATTTAGCATTTTTTTTGTGGTACGTTAAATGATAGATTGCGCATGCGTAACCGATTAAAGCGTAAAATGTGCGCATGTGCAACAAGCTTTTACATCCCACAAGCAAAAAACCAAATGTTTTAGCTTAAATTCGCTGATTGCAAGTAGGGCATGTTTGTCCATTTTTAAGTGGGAGCGCAACTATGCTATTACAAACTAATAGCATGGCTTTTCGGGAGATTAGTGATTAAATGACCCCTTACCCTCGGCAGGTTTGCGGAATTCCCTCGGGCTTCGCCCTCGGGGATTCCGCAAACCTGCCTCGGGTTACGGGGCCATTTAATCACTAATCTCCCTCAAGCCATGCTATTACTTATAAATAGCAGTTACTTTCATCCTGCTCATCAGCACTACACTGATGAGGCCCGTAAGGCCGAAACGGTACCGTATATGTATATATATATATATATATATATATATATATATATATATATATATATATATATATATATATATATATATATATATATATATATATATATATATATATATATATATATATATATATATATATAGATAGATATATAGATATATATATAGATATATAGATATATATAGATATATAGATATATAGATATATAGATATATAGGTATATATATATATATAGATATATAGATGTAGATATAGATATATATATATACATATATAGATACAGGTTTTTTTTTAACGTGCAGTTCTACACAAAATGTGCAGTTCTAAATCAATTTGTGCAACTCTAAAAAAAAATTTGTGCGGTTGAAAAAATACGAACTTTCTTGATATGGATATTTGTTCTGGAATCATTAGGTTAAAGTAATAGAATCAAAATATAAATGGAATGAATACAGCTTCAATAACAAAAGCAGTATATGTATCAGAATATTTATTTCAGTTTTCTTATAGCAAATTTAAACTAAAATGTTTTCTTTTTTTTCTTTGCTGGTTCCTCTTCACAATCTGCCAACTTCTCTTCGAGTTTCGCAGCTTCCGAGAATATTCCCTTGAAATATTGTTGTTGTTTTCTTTTTGGACAATCTCGGGCGCGATGCGCTCTTTCATTCATCCAACTCATCACTGCTGGTTTAGGATCGCACTGATCCAACGACGGCATGTTATAATGCACATACAAATTGAGGTTTTCGGTTTCAAGGAGCATTCGACTACGACCAGAAGACTTCAGTGCCACACTGCAGCTGATCAGACGTTCTACATCTGCGCTATGTGGCTTGGCTGCAAGAATCCTTGCAAATGCAACTTTGAGGTTAGGCAGCTCTTCGGACTGGACAAACCTTTGGAATCGTTCCCTAAGTGATAGCTTTCTGAAATGCTCTATATCTTCCATGCTAAGAACATCATCATATTCCATACCAAGTTCCATTAAGTCTAGATCTTTGAAGAATTGCTTGTGGACCTCCTTCAAATCCACTGACTGTTGTAAATTTACAAATGGCTTTAACAGATCAATGTCATCTTCTTGGTCCAAAAACCTTTGCGTTAAAAATTCTTTCAGAGACTCGATGATTTCATTCTTAATTGCATCAATGTCCCTTGTATCAGTGACGTAAAGATGATGAATGTGTCGACGGCGCCTTGCATTTCCACTGCTTAATTCGACTCCCTTTAAAGAAACGGTGCCATCTTCTTCCTCTGAAACTTGCTCGCTTAGAGCTTCAACCCATCCACCGAGGAGAGCCGTTTCTTTTAATCCTAACACCTTTGCCTTCACATTGGATGTGGATCTGTCCATGTCAATTAGTGTTGAAGAGTCCGATTGTAGTTGTTGCTGGTATCGTGAAAATACAGAAAGCAAATCTGCAATGAAGGTCAGCAGGTCAAGATTGTTTTTTTTGGTTAAAAAAGACAAGAAACCTGCAGCTTCTTTCTCATTACTTTTTTTGAAATAGGTAACAAGAGCACGCCAAGATCTC